AATACAATACCTTTCCTACACTAGGTGTGCGGAAAAGTAAAAGAAGAAAAATGTGTAGACCAATTTCGCAAAATACAGTGTAAATGTCTTTGTAGATCTACAACGATGAACAAATACCATTGATGTTTAATGGGGCACAGTCGAAAGTTGTTTTATTGGATCTTTTATCCAATAGCAAAATTTACGATGATCAATGATATGTTCAATATTATAAAAATAAACATAAAACACAACAACTACTTTTGAAAAAAAAAAAAACGTAATTTGTGCCCACGAAGTCCTTTGAATATTCGTTTTTTTTTTCGTAAATATTTTGTGAAATTGACAGATAAAGAAAAAAACTCAGTTTTGTATTCACTATTTTTTTAATTCTTAAAATTACACTTTTTTTGTAAATATTTAAATTGTTTTTGTTCAATTCTTGCATTGCAAAATTATAAACTAATTTATTTAATTGTTCGTAAATTGTAATTATTTGGGTTTGAATATTTAAAACTTTGAAATTTGAAAAACGTGTGCGCATGAAAAAATTTCACAGCTTCCCAAACAAATTTATTTTTAAAAAATACACAAAAATAAAAATAAATGACTACTTTACATAAAATCCCGAGAGAGCTTTGAATTCGTCGATTTGGATTAATTCGAACATATTTTTGCTAAATGAGATAAGTTCAAACCACTCTCAACTAACATTAAAATCAGATTGCTTTTCATACAGATATTTCAACTAATTTATAACTTATTATGAAAAAATATGGAAAATTTTGTATGCGAATCGAGTGAAATACAGTCATGTAACGTTTGTTTTTGTTTCTACCTCTCTCTCTCTCTTTCTCTCTCCCCCTAGGGAGAGCTCTCTTTCAAATTGGTCGATTAAATTCAAAATGTTATGTTTGTTCTTTTGAGTTGATATGAAAAATGTTCTCATTTAGTAATTAAACACATGCTTAGAGCACACTAAATATTATATTCTCTAGCTTGCATCGTCTACAGTTGTATAATATATATCTATATATAAAAATGAAATGTATAGCATTTTACAATCATTTTTGTTTTTGTTTATGATGAAAATAAATCGATGAGACTTCGCGCACCAAGTACCACAATATTTAATGTATTATTATTTTTTGAAATTTGTATTTTTATTTTTGTGTAAAACATTTTGAAAATTTGAAAAAAAAAAACGAATAATAAACGTTTAACAAAATGATCTTATGATAATGCACCTTAAAGTAGCAAGGAATTGTTTTTTTCTTTAATTCTTTTTCTTTTAGTTGGATGCATTATATTTTAAGCAAGGTTCGTTGTCATTTTAAATAAATAGTTGTAGTTTTGCTTAATCTCCGTTTTGATTTCCAATGCATCACAAAAATGTTGAGTATTTTTTTCTTTTGATGCATGCATTTGGTAGCATTACAAGTCAGAAATATATGTCTTTGATTTGATTTCTCTCTATGTTGTACATATTCCGTATCCAATACGTGAGATGTTATTAATTGGTTTTCTCTTTATCTATTAATTATTAACGTTAATACTATGCTAATGAGATTATTTTCGTCGTTATGTATGGCAACTTGACTCAACGCTTTTGTTAAGATTTTTTTTTCTTTTTTTTTTAATTTAACTTTCATTTTAATCAATTAAACCGTTTTCGGATGGTTCGGTCTTCTTATTTTTATTGTTTAATTTAATCAAATTATAATTATCATATTCATTGTAAACCTCTTCTTCGTTATCCGTATCATCGGTGTTGTCACTATTTCGATTGGCCAATTTGTTGCTGTTCACGTACACGCTTTTTATGTAACCGGGAAATGGTGTGACCTCCGAGCTATCGGAGCTTATTTCTTCTTCGCTGCCTTCAAACGGATCGACGGCCACATACGATGCCGAAAATCCTTTTCGATTCATTGTACCATCGGAACGGAACCGAACCAATAATGCTTCGTTCATTGAAATTACGTCAGGAGGTTTCTGTCCACACACACACACACACAAAAAAGAAACACAATAATGTTGAGAATATTTCGAAATTTCAAAAATAGGTAAAAATGGCATATACATTAAGGCCGCAGTATCTTCCATACAAGGGTCCACTGTAATCGTCAAGACCACCATAAATATCAACGTAATCATAAGAGCACGCCTTCTCATCTTCAATCTGAAAAGAAATTGTTGGAGAAAAATTAGAAATCGATCTTACTGCCGTAAATCATTAAAAAAAATCGATTTTGCATACATCGAATGTTAAAAATGTTAAATGAACATTTCGTCCCGGTTCAGCTTCAATAGTCCAATCACAATCAGCATTATGATCGTAGTTGTTGTCGGCAAATTTGGCATGCGAATAAAAGTGTTTGACACGTGTTGTTGCCATCAAATGACCACCACATGCAGTCGAATGTGTTGCGGTAAAACCTTGCCGTTGAACACTGGCATCTGATTTGAATACCATAAACATTTCATTCGATGATGCCGATATTGGATGTGGTAATTTCGAACCGCAAAATTTGCCCAACGTAAAACTATCCACCGAATCACCATTATAAATGGCAACATAATCATAAGCGCATTCTTGATGCGGTTCAATCTCGAATGTATTGAAATGTAAACGAATCCGATGGCCAGGTGTTGTTGTAAAATGCCACACACAGTCCTTTTTCCGTGGATAATAATCGGGATAATTTGGGCTCATAATTGTTCCGTGTGGTGCCGTAATTTCGTATTTGCAACCGCCTTCTTTGCAATCCAATCCATTATCATGTAAGACATATCCATTGTGACAGGAACATACATACGATCCAATTGTATTCTTACATTCATGCATACAACCACCATTGTTAACGGCACATTCATCAATGTCCGTAAAGAATACACCCGCAAAACCACTCTTTTGCACCGTATTATCGGAACGGAATTCAATGCGCATTATGTTTCCTTCCGATGTTACCAACGGCGGCATTCGTTCACCACAGAAAATGCCATGTTTTTTCAAATTATTGTCTTCCAATTTTGAATAAACCGTCAACGAATCATAATCACATTCTTGCTGATGGAAATGATTACCTTCCAAATCAAAATGGGTAAAGTTCAATGTAATACGATATTGTTCGGGCGCTACGATTTCCCATGTACAATCTTTCGATACTGGATACACATCGGGGAATGATGGTGATGTTATTGTACCATTTAATGCTTCAATGATTCCACCGCATGCATCTGTGAAAAGAGAAAAGAAAATTAATCGGTGTTTTCGTTAGTTTGCTATTCAAATGCACATGATACATACTTTCACACGTCTTTTTGTCACTGTGCAATTCGTATCCAATGTTACAAGAACATTGATAACCACCCAGCGTATTGATGCAATTATGTTCACAACCATGATCTTTCAATTCGCATTCATCCAATTCTTTGATAAACGTTGCAGAGAAACCAGCCTTTTGTACAGAACCATCAGACACGAATTTCACAAACATTTTATTTGTCGTTGATCTGAAACAGTTTAATTTTTACATTTAATTTAAATTGGCTTTTAGCTTGAGCTATCTGACAAGCATACAAAATCAATGAAGAATCGATAAACGGAATCTTTGAATAGGACTATAGCTGGTGAGATAGCTCGAGCCAGCATAATATCATTTGACTATACCTCATATCCGGTGGTACTTTATAACCGCAGAATACTCCAATCAAACGAGAATCCGGACTGTCACCATCACGAACTTCAACATAATCATATACGCAATTATCATGATTTTCCACTTCAAACGATTGGAATTTTAATGCCACTTGATAGTCCTCTTGAACGGTTATACGCCAAATGCATTCTTTATTTGGTAAATATTCCAGTGGATAGTTTGGCGATTCAAGTTGATTTCCACTCTCTAGATTTAAATCACCACCACAAACCGCTATTTAAAAAAAAATAAAAGAAATTCAATCACTAGTTAGTAAAATATATAAAGCTTAAAGCTTTTGAATCTGTGGTAGAGAGATTCACAAACACTAAACGAATGAAAAAAGCAGTCTACATATGTGACTTTTTTTCGTCTCTTTTTGTGGTGTACCTTCATAACTAGCTGCAAAACCGCGCAAACCAGCTTGTCTGTGTGTTGTGCTTAGAGTAAGTAACATTCGACTGCTGCTCGATTTAATTAGTTCCATAATTCGTCCAGAACCACAATAACGTCCAAGAATTGGTGACTTGTGCCAGTATCCATCTCTAATTTCCAAATAATCCGTTCGACAATTGTTTGATTTAAAAATATCCTGTAAACGGTTTTAATGAAAAATTAATCTCGATTTTTGTTTGTTTTGATAATGTTTATATACCAAGTCTGTGATATTCAAGACGATTTTCTCTCCATGTGTGGCCGTTATACGCCATTCACATGATTCTGGTTCGGCTCCTGGTGAACTCGAATAATAACTGGGCGATGTAAATGAGGCCGAATTCTCTTGGAACGTTCGACCACATTCTGCAAATGCACATAAAATAATCATTCTCTTCATTTCACCATAATTAATCAGATAAAGCAGTGATAGCCCGTTAGATTTACATACAAAGATTTTGAATTTCTTAGCATGTATGCAGTAAGTATTCGTATACTATCATGTCATGTTTGCTAATAAATTCAAAAACTCTCTCTATGCATAGCAAATCTAAATCAAATGGTTAATTTAACTTACTTGGACATTTGTACAATAGATTTGCTTGTGCAATATCACCTTCACTCAGTCGTAAACGTTGTCCAATTTCGGGCCGTTTTCGTCCTTTAACTTCAACCGGAAAAATGGTGTCAAGATATGTACCTTTCGAAAATGTATTACGCGCATAATGCATTATCGAATCATAATCATATGGTAGCCCCAATGAATTCACTTCTTCGGCAGTCAATTTATTGAAATTGTACTCTTGTCCGCTCAAAATATTTGCGCGTTCAATCACAACATGATTTTCTCGATCCGGTCGAGTGTGCTCGTGCCAAAAACCAACTGTATTCATGCAAGCAAATAAACAAATGTGATTAAAACAAAAACACAAAACGCCCAACAGTATGTTTCATTAATATTAATCATCATCCAAATATGAAAGGCTGAGAGTGAAAACAGCACGTCGCATCCCCGTACAGAAATTCCCGTAAGTGAGAGAGCAAGAGATGAGATGCGATGTGCTGTTTTTACTCTCAGCCTCTCATATTTAATTTATCCTAAAATGATATTTAAATCATATTTGTTATATTTATTGCATGCTTATTTATATGTATGAAAAGTTTAAAAAAAAAACTGTGCAAATGACGTATATATGTTATATTATCTTTAATACTCACCCACATGACCAAGTTCATGTACCACAATACCAAATTTGTCACAATTCTTTCCAATTGAAATGGCTTGTCCACCGTTTCCACGTTTTCCGACAAACGAACAGCAACTAAATCATATGTTAATATTTTATATTAATTGAACCGAGAAAAATTGACATTTTTATCAAAAGAGAGATTGAATTCATGCCCAATTTCCATTTTACCCGCATGGTCGAATCGTAAATATGATGTAGTTCATGTGATCGTTTGGATTTCTCTCAACGAATTTTATGCATGTGAAATTTTCCCAATGTTTCATTGCTTGCTTGAATAGAGCCTTGTGTGCACCGCTAAAATTTGCATCGATTTCATATGGAATAACACCATAGTCCCAGATGCGTTCCTTTTTTGCCGTTGCAGCCCGTGTAACACGATGATGTTGGTGTAACTCTTTCATTCTATTGTGTAATTTACCCATTAAAAAAAAAAAAAAAAAATTACCATTGTAATAAATGATTAAATATTTTTAATCAACAATAAATTACCTATCGCGGTCAAATGATTGTTCCAGTGGCATTGTACTTGAATTCAATGAATTTGTGGTTGTATTTTTCGGTGACGGTGGTGAATTTATCTGTGGTGGCTCTTCGAAAATATCATCGTCATTCACAATGCCACCATTAAAACTATGTGTATTATTGTTGATGTGTTCATCAAGTTTATGCATTTGAATGATTTCCGTAACGATTGGACCATTTAATTCATCTTTCAAACGTTTCAATCGTGCTTGATATGTGTTATCGACCATTTTTTCACCATTTATTTTTGCTTCTCGTCTGTATACGATAAATCCAAATCATTTGCATACGATTCGTTTTATATTGTGATTTAAATTGATTTATATCTCACTCTTTTCAAGTGATAGCAACACTATGATTACCTTTTTTGACGATGTCTTCGATGACGTTGTTGTGATGATGATACCGGGTCACTTTCAACATTGGCAACATTTGGCTCATTGTTTTGAGGTAAAGTCGTTGATTCTGTTGAAATGATTGTTGCTGGCGTCGATGTTGGCTCCAATGCATCATTAACAGACGACAACAGTATTGGATCTGAAGATATTTTTGGTGTTGTTGTTGGTATGGATTCTGTTATTGTGGTTGTTGTCGTCGTCGTCGTCGTCGTCGTCGTTGTTGTTGTTGTTCTAGTTGTGCTCAAATCGACTTTTACGTTACGTCTTGATTGTAGAATGTTTGTCGATTCATCTTCGATATCTTTGGCATTTGATTGAATTTTTTTCGCATCAATATCACGAAATACGTTGCTAAGATTTTTCGTTCGTTTTTCATCACTCGTAATTTCGCTCAATAAATTCGTTTTATTCACATTCGCTGCATCGAAAACGTTTTTTCCCTCAATCGATTCATTTCCACTTGACTCAAGTGCGGTATTTGCATTTAATGTTCCATTCAACGATTTGGATTCTTTTTCATATGGTAAAATTGGCACGTGGTTTGGCTCCTAATTAAAAATAAATAGCATATGCATATCACTAAACACGTACATAAAGAATATCACTTTGGAAAACTATTGAATGAAGTAGCCTCTTGGGCGAAAATATTAGCAGCGCTCTCAAAAAAATATTTTTTTTTTTTGAAAGTTGAACACAAATTACGCAGCCTGCAGGTCATGACATATTCATATACAATATAGGACATTTTCAGAAAATATTTTCGGCACACTTTTAAAATAAAATGTGATTAATGCAATGATTCATAGATATTTTCTTGTGTCTATCTTCAATTTTATATGAAAATGTTAAAATATTGAGCAATTATGTAAAATTTGTCAACTCACTATTAATGTGGCATCATTTTTGCTCGGTTCGTTGTTATTTAATATGGGATTTGTGTCTGATGGTAATTTCGTCTTTTTTCGAATAATATCGGTTAAACCCTCCTCTTCAACTTGCAATCCTTCGTAATGAACTTCTTGTTTTAATTGTTCCAGTTCTTGTTGAAAAGTTTTATTCAATTTTTGCTGTTGCCATTGAGACTCGTAATTTATATTTGGCAGTGCTATGTCTCCCATAAATTCGCCTATAAAATGTTTAAGAAAAAAAGTAAAAGAAAATTCGTCATATTTCCACATTTTTCGACAATTCAAAACATTTGACAATGGTTGATAATGATGTTTATGAAATAAAATGCATTCACACTTTTTTAAAATGTCAGTTTGCACTTCAACGAATATTGACCTGTTTATCTTAAAACGAAGATGTGTAACGAAAGTGAAATTTTCAATCATTAATTTCATATATATATGGATTTGATACGATAAACGTACACTGTACATGTAAATGACCTCGTCTCACGCAGAGATTATTGTATATTTATCGCTCTGCTCGAGTCGAATATTCATTTATAGGCAAGATAAACAATTGAATTTGTTGTCTACATTGATGCCACTGCACTTTCATCGTGCACATATATTCATGTTTTCTTTTTTATCTGTCTTCACTGATTTCGATTTGCGATCTTAACAATATTTTTCAAGTGCTTGGCATTGTGTGTGCGAGAGCGAAGTGAACGATTTTTTTTTTTCGTCTAACAAAAGGCAAAACAGAACTGAACAGAAAAAGAGCAGCGAAAGATTCATCGGGCAAGTGGCATATAGAAAAATGATTGACGCTAATAGAACAGCTAAATGGACTCGAAACTTTTTTTTATATTTATTCGTAGTAAAGAATTCTCAAACACAGATGACATGTATGTACATGTTGTCTTCATCTGTCGTCGGAGAAGCACTGATTGTGATTCAATTTAGTTCATGATTGGATGGATGTTTGCTCCAATTTCTTGACAAGTGTCTCAAATTATTATATAAGATAGCCCAAAATCTTGCTAAAATGCAAGGCTCCCGTTTATCATAATTTACTTACTGTTAACGAACACCAACTATGTATGTAAAATAAATGTGTAATGTAAATAAATAAAATGATTGTTCTAGTTTAGATTCTCAATTTACATTTCATTCTATCACGGAATATCGTCAGATAGATCTATCAGGTTAGATTTATTACTCGTAAATGTGACACATGACATAAAAGAAATGGATAATAATTCGTGGTTTATTTATTTTCGATTTTTCATGTTTAATTAATCTACTGTCTAAAAAATGTGAAAGATATTTTTAAAATAATAATTCTCTGCGGTCCCTAAGTCTTAAGGCTGACGATGGTATATAGGATTTCCTGTATAATTTTTTTAACTTAAATCTCTGTCGAGCTTTCAATGTTAATTTCGTTTATGACAACCATAATGAAATGATTTAAATAGTTTGAAATACTTCAGAACAGGACATTTCGTCACATACCGTTTTTTTGTCACAAAAGCGAAATGTATCAATTTATCTTCGAAGTTATTTTGATAAAGCTATTTATTGATGGTATTGTAATCTGTCGTAAGTAGTCCCCTTCTGCACAAAAGTAGAATGAATTTTTTTTCTTAAACTGATAAATCCATTGGGTTCGTCCAAGCCGATAGATTCATCTGACGATATTCCCAGCATTCTACAACAACATACTCAACCGAATAGCAAAACGAAAATAACGTCTTGATATACTAAGAGCAAGCCCGGATTGTAAAATTTAAAAAAACAATAGAGAAAGAGAGAAAAATCATCAATTATAATATCCGTCGTTGTCTGTAAAAAAGTTCAAACATTTTGAACAATTTAAACTCGGCTCGGTTTTTGGGCGAATTGAATAATGAACGATACATTATAACGGCAACCGTCTATTACAAAATCACGCACATATCCAAATGGCCAAATAAAAGTAAAAACCGTAGATTGAGATTAAGGGCCAAACTATTTTTAGTATAATTTCGTCCACATTGCACAGAAAGAAAAAATGTGGTATTTTTTATTCAATTTTGGTAGATTTAATATAAAATTAACCAACAACGAATTAAATTTACCATTTTTGACATCTCTGAGGCATATTTTTCAAAAGTGACTATTTGTTGAATAAGTTTTACCAACTGCTTCATTACATTTAACAACTTTTCGAAACCACAGATGACGCTAGCCCATGAATTTGGTGAATGAAATGAAGCAATTGGTAAAAATTATTAAACTGATAGTCTCTTTTGAGAAATATGCCTCAGAGATGTCAAAAATGGTAAATTTAATTCGTTGTTGGTTGATTTCATATTAAATCTACCAAAATTGAATTAAAAATACCACATTTTTTCTTTCTGTGTGAGTGTCGAGTTTTAGCCCTTTGCTTAGTTCGTTCGGTAAATGAATCGAAAATTAAGGCAGCCAATATGGTTATTGTTTGGATTGAAAAGCAACTTGTTTGCTTTCCCCCCCCCCCTTTAATCACAGTAATTCCTTTTCAATCACTCTACGAATTTAATAACAATTACTTTTTTGTCATCGCAAGTTTTAAAATGATTACTAGTTATTATGTAGAATAAAAATCCGAAGTTTATTGCGTTGTGGCTGTGGCTGCTTCCCTCATTCAACGGAAAAACAAGATGAACGTATGTGATTGTGTAAAACAGAACTCATAATTGATACTGTAGATTCCAATCTGATAAATTATGAAGCGTATCAGATAATGTAGCTCGTTGAATGTCTGCTGAAATAAACTGAATTCCGAATGGCTAATTATTAATATGAAAATTATGATAGAATTCACGAGCACAACAAATTGACATATATCGTTTGGCAACATTACAGCGCACATCATACATATGGTGTTTTTTGTTGTTGTTGTTTTTGTTGCTTCGTTCGTTGTTTCGAATTGAATTTCTGAAATATACGTTTGAAGTGCGTTGTGTGTTTATGAAATTTAGTTTTCATTTTCGAGAATTGTGAGAACTAAAATTGAACAACAAACATAAAACTGAGAGAAGGAAGTTAAACATGCGGGCATTATCTCAACGGATAAAGAGTTAAATTGCATACAATATTTCAACATATAGATCCTTGGTTCTGTATTCATTTATTGACTACGAAATCATTTTAGTGGTTTTGCTTCTACACGGCATATGACAGCTGCGGCGCACATTCAAGTAAAAGTGCACAATTTCATCCTCATTTCCATTTATAATACATTCATATTCAACATCTATACTTCGTTATTTTAAATAATTAAGCAATTTCATTTCATATTTAAGCACGTGAGTGCAAAGTAAGTAAACAATGAAACTGAATACAACATCTCGCACACTCCACTCTCATTCTTACACATATTGCTTCTTGTCAGATTTATTCAAAGGTTAAACGACTGTTTGCAACTATTAATTTTGGTTATTATCGAATAATCAAATAAAACGGTAAACAAATATAACGTTCATTAAAATGCGGAATCATATCAAAACAACCGCATTCAAATTAATTTAATTAGATTGTTGTAGATCAAAAACGGTCTGTATTCATTTTGTCGCCTACTGAAGTCGATCGGTAGATTGTTGTGCAAACATCAAATGGAGAGAAGATGCCAACTTCTTGTTGTTCATTTCTTATTCAAAATGCCGAAACTAAAATGGTAACATTTCATGTTTTGAATTTGATTCAGTGTTCGACATATTATGATTTATATAACGTTTTTGAATTGTTTGTTATGATAATATGATTTTGTTATTAAGTACCAGTAGACATTTGTTGTACATTATAATCATAAAACATTGTGATATCTATAGTGTCAACTACATAAAATAAATCTATCATTCGATCGGAAGCTTTTACATAAAGCAGCAGTGTTTTTATTCATTCTCGATTTTCAACAAAAAAAAAGGTTGTGTTATCACTTTGTGCATGTTTGAATATTTTCATATGATTAATTTTGAAGCAGGCAGTAAAGAAGAGAGTGTGACATGATGGAAAATTGGCAAGTTGTAGGTTTCTAACACTCACAATGATTGGATGTGTAAATTTGTGTGCACTCAACGTTAGAGCACATATAATATCACATATTTGTAACCATTAAACATTGAAAACTTGAAAAGCAGCCATACACAGCACACACAAAAACTAAATAAATAGACATTTTCTGTAGTTATCGTTGTGGCGGATATTTTGCTGCTGTCATTGTAGCCACTTCTTTCTTCTTTCCAATTTTATGTTGGGCAGTTTGTGAAAAAAACACAAACACTTTGGTGCATTAAATAAATGTATAATATTTTGTTATGAATCAAACATAGTGTCAAGATTGTCTTGTACTACATGTTCAACGCCGGTAGTACTGAATTGCCGAAATGGAAAGCTGATTCTAAAATGAAATTCTGAAAGAAATAAGTTTGAAATGAACATTTACTCCCGCCTTCCAAACCCACTTGAAGAGTATTGGATATAGGAGTGGAAGAATTGAAATTTTATTATATTGATAGAAAATATTTGAATATCATAAAGGCGCTAAAGTGCCTTTTTAACAATCAAAAGAAATGGAAACATGTCATTCACAATTTTAAATTTAGTTATGTCATAATATTGTTTCATTCAAAAAAGTCACATTCGAAATATCTAAAAATCGAAATTGAATCAAATTCAGTTGAAAAGCGTATCATTCTGGTTGGATAACCCTTTACATTTCTTTACATACTGTTTATTTCTGTAGTTCGTTTCATCAGCGCACAAACTAATTTTCGGTTTATATTAAAGCAGTTGCCCGAATAAGTCCGGGTTCGTCCATATATCCATAGCAAAACAAAAAATCCGCTCAGGAAAATACGAAGAAACGCGGACTTTGACAATCAAGTTATTTCTGTGCTTAGAGATTAAGTTCGAGTAAGGCTACTATTCTTAGTAATCGTTAAAAAGTCTACAGCTTGCTGAAACCTTTCTTCAAACTTACTTACCCTTTACAAATGTCATTAATTTGGAATCCATTCATGTCAAAAATGTGAATTGATATTGACATAACCACTTTTTCACAAACTGGTTTAAACATCATTTATTAAGCATGCAAGTGATTTTGTGTAAAAAGCGGAAAATATTTCAATGGTATTTTGAGACACATATCTTTGCTTCAAATTGAAATAAATTAAATCGAGTTCGGATTTCACCCGGATTTTTTTAAGTCTCATCG